TATATATATATATATATACATACATACATACATACGCATACAAATGCACATACCATTATGTGTATATTACATATATATATATTATATTTATACAGTATGTATGTATAAATATTTACATACATACACATACAAATGCACATACCATACATACCATTCAAACAGTAGCTATGTTTACATGGACATAAGTAATCGGATTAAACGATCATTCGGAATAAAAATGTGTCATGTAAACACCCCTTTCGGATAATTCTGACCTAATTCAGCTCGATCCGAATGAATTTGTAATCGGAATGAGACGAGGTGGTTTATGCCAGATTTTAATCCGAACAGCCTGCATGTAAACACTTAATCTGATCATCTTATTCTGATTGTGGAAAACTGACCAGACTGCGCATGTCTGCTGACTTTCATCCAGCGGTTTTCAGCAGCACAGAAGTTTTCCTCCTGTTCTCTCATTCAATAAAGAAGGAAGACACACAGCCTGCGCCGCTTTGCAAAAAAAAAAGTCTGCACGTCACCCGCAGCTGAACCAGAGAGTGCAGTAACATCTCCACCATTATTAAAACCTGTCGCATGTCCATTCTGAGCTCAGAGGCTGTTTGTTTATGTTCATCACAGAAGTAAAACCTTTTTGCGTTTTTTTTTTTAAGGGAAAGTTAGCAACTGTGCATGTCAGAGCTTCTATTCAGAATAAAAGCCCGGTGCATGTGAACACGTGTCATGATCGGATTGTGCGCATGTAAACGATACATACATTTTGATTATTTAATCGGAATACATTTCAATCCGATCAATGAATTTTGCGCATGTAAACACAGTGACCAACCAGAAAACCCAGGATTTAAATACCTGTTTGTGTGCGGTTGTGAGCATGTACGTATACACAAGATCTCTCCAATGGAATGTTTAAAAGTGACTGTGGAGGACCACAGACTCGACCCGTAAGGGTCGAAGCCAACATAGGGGAGACCAGTGCCAAGGATCCCCAGAGGGACCTCAAGGACGGAGCCCCTAGAAGCACCCGGCCCGCCCACCCACCCCCCAAAGGGATCCACAGGAGAACAGGGAGAGCCCCACCAGCGACCACACGCAGTAACCCCCTGGAGCCAGTAGCGATGAGCTCATTGGCGCCGCCGGCACCCACCGTGCCAGAGCAGATCCAGGCATGGACACAGAGGCCCACCCCCCACTACCCCACCCCAACCCCCCAGGCCAAGGCCCGACAGGGTCGGGGGACCCAAGCCCCACCGGGCAGCCACTGGGCTGAGCTGGCACATGCCCAAGCGCCCAGCGCCAAACGTTAACATTCAACTGCATGAAGCAAATAAGAATCATGAAACAGTAAGTTTCTGTTATGAATAAAATATACATCTTGAAAATATTGACTTTAAAAAAATATCTTATTAATGGACCCATGAGTTTAACAGAAAATACTGCATCTAACAGGTCTGTGGAGCAGCCCTGATCTTATTGAAATCAACATGATGTCATTGTACATAATCATTGTTGTGTTGAACTAAAAATGGTCTAAAAGTAAAAGTTTAGTAATTAATCCATAAAAAGTTATCTGACAAGTTTGTGACAAAGCACAGTCCTGGTGGAGCCCAACATCCCCTGAAGGAAACCAACTAACTGCCAGCAAACTCTTATAGGTTCTGACTGGTCTGGAGCAACAACCCCCCGATGATGTTGTGTAACAGTCTTGTTATCATTAAAATTGGTATTTGTGTCACATGATTTTTTTTACATTCCTCTTTGTGAGCTTCGTCATTGAATAAAGAAGAGAAACACATTTCCATTGAGTATTTGTGTGTTTAGTATGTGGGTTATCAGGAGAAAGGTCCAGTTTCAACCTGCTGCAGCTGTTTATGTTGGGTTAAAGGCTGTGTCGCTCTGAGACTCAAGGACCGCTCCGATAAATGTTTCTGTTCAGGCTGGAGCTGACGGACCCGTACAGGTTACACTGCTGTGGACGAGAACCAGAAACAATCACTGCTTCTTTCAGATGGTGGAAATGTTTTTGGCTGTGTGTGTGTGTGCATTAGCAACATATTTTACAAACCACTGGGCAGATTTATATAGAACTTTCTGAAAGTAATCTTTATTTGTCCATCTATTCACTATTAGATTCAAGGTGGCCACCACAGTTTAAAAGAGGTTCAGCCATTACTTTCTGAAAGTTTTAAAAGAAATCTGCTCAGACACAGGCAAAACAACAGGGAACACTCCACAGCTGTTTTTGTGGAGAGTCTCAGCACACAAGGAGTTAATTATGAGTAAACTGAAGGCGTGTCAAAGACAGTCAGCTGAAAACTACCCACCACAGAGCAGGGGTCCACTCAGAGGGGGGCTGGTTCTGCTCTGAGGTTCTGCAGGCACTGCCTGTAAACATAATCATGTGTCGGATACTGAACCTGCTCAGGGCCGAGCTGAGGAAAGATCCTTTCACCTGTCGAGGTTCTGCTCGCAGCTGTCTGAGATCCATCTGTGTCTCCTCAAGAAAAGCAGCAGAACGGAGGTGAGATTTATTAATCCTGGATTGTTTCACAAGAGTTCCACTGTGCTCATGTTGATCCAGATTTAATGATTCACCACACACCAAGTGTTCAATTATCTTTGCTCAAATTTGTTGAAGAATGAGATTTTAATTGAATTGTTGAAGTTAAATCTGAACAGAAGCTAAAATTAGTGAAGCTGGAGCTTAAAGCTAAGGTTAGCAAAACTGAGGTTAAAACCTAAAATCAGAAATACATTATCTAGGGGCTAAACATAGAAAAACTGTCTATAAACTAAAATAATTGAAACCAAAGCAAAATGTTACAAAACAGTGTTAAGAAGTTAAAAGAAGCAGAATGGCAACTATACAAGCTGTAGCACAAACCTAAAATCAACAAAACCAGCAACAAGCTAAAACTGTTCCAGATGTAAAAGTTAAAATTGACAAAATGGTAGCTAAAAGCTACTGCATATGGAGAGCCATTTCATTCAAAATACAATAAATAAGGAAATAAATAAATAAATAATGTAATTAATAAAGTATTGATAAATATTCCATCAAATACATAAATGTCCCCATGAATAAAAAAACAAAATTATTATATTATAATACATTTTTAGCATGTCTTTATTTATTTATTTATTTATTTATTTATTTATTTATTTATTTATTTATTTATTTATTGTATTTTGAATGAAACGGCTCTCCATAATGACAGTCATGAAAAGACAAATAGAAAAAATGAGTAAGTTGATGCCTAAATGTTTGTAAAACAAACAAACAAACAAACAAACAAACCAAACAGTTGCTTTAGGCTAAATTGAGTAAAACAACTCGTAGTCAATTGTGGTAAAATCACAACTGAAACCTAAAATTAGCGACACAGTGACTAAAAGTTAAACTTTGCAAGACAGCAGCTAAAAGAATTATAATAAACTAAATGCTGAAGTAAACCTTTGAGAACATGTATCTTTTGAGGGAAATATACAAGAAAGTACTAAATACATAGTCATTTGTAAACTAAGTATTTTATTAAATATAAAAGTTATAAATACTAGAAGCCACAGCACACTACCACAAAATGAGCCAAACATTTTGATATTGTAATTGTTTAAATAGCAAAAAGTATGCAGAAGTACTTTGACCGCAAAAAACAAATAGAAAAAATTTAAACAGTTGAAGAGCATGAAGGCTGAGTCAGCATTCACACAGTAAATACTGCTGACCTGGAGCAGCTGCAGCTAACGCTGCTACATTAATTCTCACATTTTACAGCCATGTTTCAAACATCACCTCCTGCTGTGGTAGAGAGTCAGCATAATGTTCAGCGGTGATCCTTCACTTCCTCTCATCCTCCTCTCCTTCCAGGGATCCTTCCTCAGCGTTGGGAAAGAGATGGAAGGACACGGCAGACACAGTCGTCATCGGTGGGGGTTGTGTGGGGGTCAGCCTGGCCTATCACCTGGCCAAAAGTGGGATGAAGGATGTGGTGCTGCTGGAAAAGTCTGAGCTGACAGCTGGCTCCACGTGGCACGCTGTAGGTCCTTCTGAAGATTTTCATCCTCTCAGAATGAACAGCTGGCTGGTCTGAAGGGAGAATCATTTCTGATTTAAACTCTCTGTAACAGAATTACATCAAAATTATGTTAAAATTATCTTGTAATTGCTGGTAATGGAAATCTCTCTTTATCAAAGTTCAAAATAAGTTCACTAAACAAGCAGCCGTTGAAAATATTCAAAATAGTTTCACTTTTGTGTCACAGATTTTTTTGTAACAATATTTATTTGTTTTTTATGACTAGTTGTAAAGACCTTTTTACAACTCAGAGCAAATGCACAACTTGTTTGCTTCTTGTGACATCTGTTATCAAAATAATATAGAAGTATGAACCCAGCTTCATTCTCGCTTCAAAAATAATATTGAGGGAAGAAAATGAGTGAAGATTAAAACCTGTACAGCTCTAAATAAATGAATGACTAAATAAATGCAGTCATTTTCACTCTGCTACCCAGATGAAGAAAATCAACCATTAAATTTACATGTGCTGTGTTTTTTTTAATTCATTTTTTTTTGGTAATTTTTCATGATTGTGTTTGAATTTCAGGCAGGTTTAACAACTTATTACCATCCAGGCATCAACCTGAAAAAGGTTCATTTTGACAGCATGAAGCTGTACGAGAATCTGGAGGCTGAAACAGGACAGGTGAGACCCCTCCTCATTTACAGCTTTGAAAAGAATTAGTGTCATGTTATAAAAAAGCTTTGGGTAGCACTGAAAAACCAGGGGTGGCACACCAAAATTAATATCTATAACAGAAAATTTACCATGTGTTTGTAAACACGACAAATTGAAAACTACGGCAATATAAAGTTATGGATTCACCAACATACTTTCAATTTGTAATTTCACAGATAACATCACTGATTTTATGACATTCAGAGACAAAAAAAAAAAAAACAAGAGTATTTGCAACGGGCGGACCCACTGGTGTGGGGTGTGGGGGTCCTCCCCCCCAAATTTTTTAAATTAATAAATGCCATTTCCTGTATTCTGGTGTATTTTAACAGGTTGTTAAACAGATTTTTACCTACATAGGAAAACACTTAATGCGAGTATTCTGTAGGTAAAATTAAATAAATTTATTTGTTAAACAAGAGAAACACTGGATGAACAAATGTTTTATGGTAAATGTGGGGGTTTAAATTAATTAAATTTAAATTTGATGGGGACAGTTCCCTTCAAAAATGATTGTCATTTTGTTTAAAAATGTCAAAATACATATTTTAAAGACATTTACGATGAACAAGCTTTTTAAAATTTAAAGCCATCACCTCTTCTATGTTTGTTAAAATGTTTATTTGCTTGTTGATGTTTACTTTTGTGAAGAAAAACTGTGATTATAAAACCCCAAAACTGGAAATAAAGACTAAATCAAGCATAATTACAAACTACATCTACTGTGGTTTTATCCCAAATTATTAAGTTATTTGATTTTTATGTCATATAATAAATATGATTTTGGTCTGTGAGAGAAAACTGGAGAACAAGAAGTTGATCTAACAACCTTCTTCCTGCCCCACAAACTGTGCCACTGTACTGCCTAATTTAATACTCATTATATAATTATTTAAATTATTTAATATTTGATTAAAATATATCTATGAATCTTT